TTATTCTTCTGACCCCGATTTCCTTTGCTAGTTTTAATTCGGTCAATAATGCTTCATATTCCGCCTGATTATTGGAAGCTTTGAAGCTGAATCTTATTGATTGTTTTAATTTTACCTTGTTTGGTCCTTCTAAAATAACCCCTACTGTGCAGCTGCTTAGATTTGAGTATATATCTACATGTAAGTTCCACTTATCAGTGATAGGCATGACCTTAAGAGGATGAAATTCGTTAAGAAATTCTACAAGTACTTGGGCCTTGAGGGGTCCTCGTGTTTCAAGGCGAACATCATATTAAGAGAGCTCTACTGCCCATGCCATCATGCGCTCGACAAGTTTTAGTTTACGCAATATCTTCGCAATTGTACAATCAATACACATAATAATTCAGTAACACTTGAAATAGTGCCTTAACCACCGAGCTGTGTGCACTAATGCCAAAGTTACTTTTTTCATCAACTGGTATCGGGTTTCAGCATTATGCAGTGTTCGGTTGATTAAATATACCAACATTATAATGTGTTCTGATGTCTCTTATAAGAGTATTGAGCTGATGGCGTTATCTGAAACTGCTAGATAAACGATTATATCTGATCCTGGTTTTGGTTTGGTTAGGATAGGCGGTGTTGCTAAGATGGTTTTAAATTGACCGAAAGCGATTTCACATTCTTTGGTCTATTCAAATTTTTGTGTCTTCCTAAAAAGTTCTGCAAATGGTCGTGACTTTTCCGCTACTCGTGGAAGAAATAAAGATAGTGCGACTATCTGGCCGGCTAACCGTTGTACTTCTTTGACAGTATTAGGGTTGCGCATATCAAGTATTGCCTGACACTTATCTAGGTTCGCCTGAATCCTCTTTTCGGGAAGCATAAAGCCCAAGAATTTTTCTCTAGAAACCCCAAATGTACATTTATTGGGATTAAATCACATCCTATGCTACTTTGCTTTATTAAAAATTTCATTCAGGTGGATAATGTGATTATCTATGGTGGCGGATTTGACCACCATGTCGTCAACGTATACCTCTATACATCTTCCTATCTGCCTGATGAATATCTTGTTCATTAACCTTTGATAAGTGACGCATGGAATCTTTAATCCGAAAGGCATAACTTTATAACAGAAGTTTGCCGAATTAGTGATAAAAGTTGTTTTGTCTTCGTCTGGGGATACATCTAAATCTGGTTATATCCAAAATATGCATTAAGGAAACTAAGTATTCTGTGACCAGCTGCTTTGTCTACAAGGGCATTTATGTTTGGTAGGGAATATACATCCTTCGGGCATGCTTTGTTTAGATCTATGAAGTTGGTGCACATTCTCCATTTTCCATTTGCTTTTTTCACCATTACCACATTGGCAAGCCATGTAGAGTATTGTACTTCTCGGATAAATCCTGCTTGCAACAACTTAGCAATTTCCTCTCGGACAGCATGGGCTCGCTCTCCCCCCATTTTTCTCTTCTTCTGAGCAACTAGCTTTGCCCTTTTGTACACAGACAGTGGATGACATAAAAAATCGAGATCTATTCCAAGCATATTTGTTGTTGTTCATGTGAAAAGTCTGGTGTGATTGAGTAGTACCTTGTTGATCCTTTGTTGTTCAGCCTGTGATAATCCAGTTCTAAGGTATCTTGTTCGGGTAGTTCTCCCAACTGAAAAGACCTCTTTTCTTCGTTAGGTTCGACCTGAGGCCCCTCATCTATTCTTGGATTGAGCTTGACATCTGTTAAGTCCCCACCTAACCGAGGGGATACTATATTGACATCCCTACCCGAGTTAGATAAGTGCTTTAATCACAGGCTTGTAAAATAATATTCTCTGACAATCTTTTGGTCTACATGGACAGTAATGATCCTACCTCTGTCAGATGAAAATTTCATGGCAAGATGAGAGGTGGAGACTAGGCTTGCAATTTATTCAGGGAGGGTCGTCCCAACAATATATTATACAAGGTACTCGCATGAACCACCAAGTATATAGGTCAATACACCCACGAGTTTCTACTCTCTCTCCCAGAACCCCATAAGCGGTTCGTTATATTCTTTTAATTCCTCTTTAGGTATGCTCGTTTGCTAAAAAGTGTTCCAGTAAAAAATGTTGGCCAAGCATCCCTGATTGATTAAAGTTTTTCTGACAGTACAGTTGTGGATGTCAACACTTATGACTATAGGGACATCTTGTACAAGATCTACCCCTTGGAAATCCCGATCTGTAAATGTTATTGGGGGATCCAAACCCCGCTTCCCAAGGATATATTGTTGACTGATCAGACCTATCACAGGTATCTTTTTTAGGCTAAAATGGTAGAACCTCCTCCTGCAAATCCTCCTGCTATGGTGTTGATAGTGCGGCAAGGTTGATTGTCGTGTTTATTATGGCGTTGCTATGGAGGGTCTCTTGATCGGCTACGATGTCGTTCTTCTCTTCTATTGTGCTGCCATTTTGATTGTTCGATCCACTGACCTTTCTCTCTTTTTGTGTGTTTTGTTACAAAGTCTTGAAGATGTTTGGCCTTAACCAAATCTTCGATGCGGTCCTTGAGTGTTGTGCACTCTTCAGTAGTGTGTCGCCGATTCTAATGGTACTGACATGTCTTAGTTTTGTCTGCCCGAGAGAGGTGCTTGCTCACTTGGGGATGGTTATATCTTTATTGTTAGAGCCTGCTCAAGTATTCTAGACCGATTGGTATTAAGCGTTGTGTAATTTGTATACCTTGGCCCACTCATGAGTCGTTCAACCTCATTCTTTTGGTCTATATTCTCTTGTCTGTTCCTCTAGAGGTTTTCCCCTTCAGTTTCCTTCCTACCAGATACTTGCTCTATTCTAGTTTGATTACAGAATTTAGCCAGTTCCTCCATCTACATGTATTTAGTTGCAGGATTGCACAATTCATCTAAGTCTGCTTGACATTTTTTACAAATACTATTAGCAAATGGACTCGGTTTGAGGGTTGTTGTGAGATGATGCATCGCAACTGCTAGCTCCAGGTTTCAGATAGATAGAGCTACTCTCCCAAAGCGTTCCATAAATGCTCTAAGTGTCTCCTTTTTCTCTTGGCGGATGTTAAATAGAACTAATAAGATTAACTGATGAGGCAGACTGGTAGCGAACTGTAGATTAAAACGTTCGACCAGTGTGGCAAACAAGACATGGGCGGTAGTTTGGTGAACCAGTTCAAGGCTAGTCCCCGTAGTGATGTTGGGAATATCTGACACAGTAAAGCATCATCGTCAGTGTAAAGGCCGACCTGGGTAGTAAATATATCGATATATTTTTTCAGATCAAAAGTTTCGTCATATTTTTTGAGAGTTATACCCTTCCAATTTCTTGGCAGCTTTGCCTCCAAGATTATTTGGGAAAAAGGTCTTCGGCTTGAGATTCTATCTCGTTCAACTGAAGGGTTGGTCCTTATTTGTTGAACTATTTTCGGTCTCTCCTGTTATGCTGATGACTCTTCATGTTCTTGAACGAAAGGTGTAACCTGAGACAAGATGTAAGTCCTAATTTCACTTCTTAAGTTTCCATTCTCCCTTCGCATGGCCGACAACTTGAGGGCATCCCTTTTTCAGAGCGTTGAATCTCCATCATTTCTGCCTTCAAGTGCCTTACAATTGAGGAGGAGAGATCCTCATCTTCTCCCGTTTCAAGGAGAATTCTTGGGACAGGCGGATTCTGTACATGTTCTTCCTGTTGATGCGGTATTTCCCATGGCTGGCTGGGACTTTACTGTTGGCTCCTAGTTAGTACCATATCTTCTTGAAATTAAGGCAAATCGTGTCCTATGGTGGACGTCAAAATGTTCCTGTTAAGGATACAATAGTCTTCTGCGATCTCTCCGCTTGTCTTCTAATGTGACGTCTTTGTTGAATGTTCCAAATTCCTTGTGTTGTGAGGTAGGGGGTATCTACAAAGGCATTCCGATGATGAAGTCAATAGTCAGTATAAGAAAATAAAGGCTATTTAATATTCATAAGTCAATTCTTATTTGTATCTCCTACTTTTCTTTTATAGGTGAAGTATTAAACTAATAGGCTTCATGAATCAGCCCTTTGATTTTTGGGTAATTAATCTTTTTGGCTCAATAATTATTTATTTTAGTCCTTAATCATATTATTGACTTATTAAGACTAGAGAAACATTTGTTGTTTATGTTAGGCTAAAGAGGTATTCAAATTTCTATTTATGATGTAACGATAGAGTATTGCCTTATCCAATATAGGTCTCATGCAATAAAGCCCAAAATTCTTGACTCATTGTCAAAAACCATTATCTCTAAAGCTCCACTTACCCCTTATCTTGTCTCACTCGCAATTCTTACATTACTTTTCTACGTATATTTATTTTGATCTATCCTCCATCTTTTTTGATGATCGATAATATAATATTTTAAAAAATTTAAGGATAAAATTGATGGACACATTAAGTAAATATTCATTTATAGATAATTATATGTAGAATTTTATTTATTATCACATTAAGCCATAAAAATAGATAACAACGTTAATTTTTTTTAAATAGATGACATTGTAAATCAGTTTATATAAACTTAATTTTATTTTTAATTAAATTCAGGTATTCTTGTATTTCTAATAAATTTGAAACTCCTTTTATTATTGGGTATTAATATATATTTATATTATACATAAAAATTATAATTTTTACTAAATAAAAATTCACTACTATCAATTAAATTCAACAAAACTATATTTCTATTTTTTTTTATAAAATTATATTCTATTACTCAATATGAAAAAATATAAATATTTTGATAATTATTAAAATCAATAATTATGATAAAAAATAAATAATAAATACTAAATATAAAATTAAAAATGTAAACATAATAAAATAAAGTAAAATGTAGGAATAAAAATATATTTAAACGTTCTGTTAAAATTATATTTGCATTTGATAAAAAAAAAATATTTGGATTTAAAAAACTCCTGTAGTAATATCTAATCACCAATAACCACCCACTAGCTTAGCTTATTTTCACTGTACCAAAAAGAAAAACCGCTCGATACAGTGTATAGAGTAGCTTTGTTGTGTGTTATGGCGCCACAGGGTAAAGCCGATGCAGCCGCCGCCACCGGCAAGAAGAGAAAACGCTATCTTCCTCACAACGTCTTTTTCTGTTCCGTTCCTTTTTTGCGTTTCGAAGTTTCTGTTATTCAGTTACTGATTCTGTTTTCATCAATTTTTTCAGAAGGCAGTGAAGAAGGGTTCGTATCCTTTGCGCCCTGGCGTGCAAGGCTTCTTCATCACTTGCGATGGCGGCAGAGAACACCAAGCCTCTCGTGAAGCCCTCAACATTCTTGATTCCGTATGATTTCTTCTTTCTTCTTCTCATTATTACCGCCTCAGCTTTCAATTGCGATTCTTCTAACAGCTTCAACTATTGTATCACGAGCTTCATATGAATAATTGCATGAATAGTGTATCCTTCGGAAATTCTTAGCTAGGTGGTGTAGTTTAGGCTTGAATCATATTTTCTAGTTTTTTAACTTGTTTAAATTTGCATTTTGTATTTAGTGTGGGACATTTTTTTTCCTATCTTTGTAAAATGATATCATGTTGTTTTTGTTTGCTTTGCAGTTTTATGAAGAGTTAGTTCTTGGGGTAGATTCAAGTGTAAAGGAGTTATCCAACAGACCTTTAAATACAAAAATCACGTTTGCAGATTCCGACTCTTCTAGTAGTGGTGATGATGATGATGATGAAGATGAGGAGGTGGTGCAGGAGGGAGATGAGGAAAAGGGAGACAAAAAGCCCAAATTGGACGATGCCAGTCATGACAATGGAACTGGTGAAAAATCAGATACTCATAAAATTGATGATCTGCGTTCCCAGGCTGTAGATAAAGGTAATGATAATGAAGGGGTCGTTGACAATCTGAAGACTCCGGAAAGGATAGCTGATGAGCTACCAGCTGTGAAACAGTGCAGCAAAACAAATGTGCCAACATCTGAGTTTGGTAACAAAGTGGAAAAGGAGTCTATTGATAGGTTAATTGAAGCAGAATTCAAGGAATTAGGAGACAAGAATAAGGTGACTTGATAAGACTAATGTTCTGTATATTTTTATTCTGTTAGTGTGGAGCTTCACATTTCATTTGTTTTTCGCTTCACCCTATCTTTATTTGTGGCCTATCTGATGATAATAGTTCTTCTCATGACTCCCTACGCACATGGCATATTCAGAAACACATGCATATAGATGTGCAACTAATGCTTGAGGTCTGCAATCATACAAGAAGATATCAGTTCCTCTTCTGCTGCCTTTTTTTTGAGACATGAGATGGAAAATATAGTGTGATATCTATTGGAAATATTACCTTCATAGTACTACAGAGCCACTCTAGAATATCATCTTTACTTCTTGACTACTTGACTTCTTTAAGAAAGATGCTTTTGGGCTAATATTGACTTCCTGGAATCCAAAATAGTCACTGCTAACAACTTGTATTGATTAAGTAGTGGCAGGATCAGCTTTTATGTTTATCATTTTTCCTCAGTAGAATTTATTTGGTGAAATTTAAAGTATTTGTAGAAAGACAATATACTTAATTCCTCAGTTCATTGTGTATTGTAGTACAATTTGAGGGCACTGGGCTGACATCTGCCCCTAGGATTTGTTTCAACTTTCGATTTTACTCTTCTATCTGCAGTTTTGTGTGTTTTGCTAAGTGTTTTTCTTTTTTTCCCCAGAGGCGCTTTGTCAAGCTTGATTCTGGTTGTAATGGTGTAGTATTTGTTCAAATGCGGAAGAAAGATGGAGACCAAGCCCCAAAGGATATAGTTCATCGGATAGTGACATCAGCTGCATCAACAAGGAAACATATGTCAAGGTATATTTTTAGTTTCTATTTTATATATTTATGTCTCTGTGCATATGTACATACAAACACATGCAGAATATGCACAGAAGAAACACTGATGCAGTGTTGTCTACTTCTAGGTTTATTTTGAGAATTTTGCCAATTGAAGTCACATGTTATGCTTCAAAGGAGGAAATTTCAAAAGCGATTAAGCCTCTTGTGGAACATTACTTTCCTGTGGAAACACAAAATCCACACAAGGTAATACCGCACATTATTGTCTCTGCTCATATTTACATCTTCTTTTGAATGAGTCACAAACTACCCAAATGTTGCCAATATTAATATTTTGAAATTAATAAAGCTGAGTAGGTATATTTATAGTAAACTAACCATATTTGACAATTATTCTTCTACCTAATGCTCCAACTTCTACACCCAGTGAGGCCCACAAGCTTGGAAAGCTAGCTTTAGAATTCTCAAAGCACTATACTTAAATGTGTCTTTAACAATTTTAACTTAAATTTGAAGTTAGAATTTGGGCCATCATACTTGTTGATTATGGCTTTTCGAACTGGAATCCTATTCCTTACAATTGGAATTTCAAAAACAATAAAATAAAATCCTTCACAATTCTCAATCCAATTCCTTACAATTGGAATTTCGAAAGGAAAGTTTGAAAAGATAAACTTTGCATGTGGCCGTTTAAGTTCAATGTTGTTGACTTGTTGCCACTGTTTTCAATCCTAACATTTGTTTTACTCTCATGTCATCACCTATGCCCACTGTTGCCATCATCTGCACCACCTGTTTGCCTTTTGTACTGTTGGCACTGTTGCTGTCGCTGACATTGACCATACTACTTAGCACCACCATTCCTTGTCACCATTACCATAAAAACATTTTATTTATATTTATTCAAAATTTCGTTTTTGCAATGTGATATACTATTCTTTTAAGAAAGTGTGGCTCATACCTCATAGATGAAAATATATTAAAATTCAAAATTATAATTATGACTTTGTTTATAAAATCCAATCCAAGTTTACGTTTCTGAATGAATCGTCAGAATTAAAGTTGAATCTCAAATTCCAATTCTTATATTCAAACCGAGTGTAGTATTTGACCAAGATGAAATTTTGGGGGTGCGTTATGTTTACACCAGTAGGCTGCAAGAAGAGGAGCCTGATTTTGAGCATTCTGGAAAGTTAATTACATGAATGTAGATTTGCTCTGTTATATGTTATCTTATGTCTAATTTGTCTCCTTCAATAAACAAATGTTCTTAACAAAGTTCATGTTCAATTCTTTCTATGACTGGGTTCTTTTGTCTGTAGCTTGACAAGCTTTTTGTATGTGCAGTTTGCTGTATTGTATGAAGCTCGGGCAAATACTGGTGTTGACAGGATGGAAATCATCGATGCTGTGGCAAAGTCGGTTCCTGCTCCCCATAAAGTTGATCTCAAAAACCCTGATAAAACTATAGTAGTTGAAATTGCCAAGGTAAGAAAGGCATGGTCTGACGGGAACTTAAGTTATACTGCATGTGTCTCTGCTTGTCGTGTACTCGTTAGTCATTACGTCATTTTTTACCCCTTAGCAGCAGCAATGTTGTGAAGTGCTGTTCTTGATGTGCCAGATTATTTTCCTTCATTTATCTTTTCACATTGTCTATGAAATCTATGCATTTTTGTATTGGCTTCTTTAAAAATTGTTTAATAATTTCGCCATTAGAAAAAACTAGTCAGAAAGTTTTTTTTTTTTTTTTTTTCCTACTTTCGCTATATATTCTGATTTTGCCATTTTGGTGTCACCTAAAGGTACTTTCGTAGTTTGCGCATACAACTTTAAAATTTATATTTGCATTTCTTCTTTAGAGGCTGAACTTGGTTTTGACATACCATTTTTGGAATCAACACTTACCACAATGCTTTATTTTTCGATTCTTTGCGTTTAATTTACCATGTTTTGTATCAGTTTGGTATAGAACTAATGCATCCTCCTCTTTCGCTTGTCAGACCGTGTGCTTGATCGGTGTCATTGAGAAATATAAGGAATTTTCCAAGTACAATCTGAGGCAGTTAACATCACGTAAAGCTTGAGCCTTTTTGACAGCCTGTATACTTGTCGTTACTTCGGAATTTTAATAGCTTTAACTTGTTTCTTTTAGGTCAATAGCTTAACTATTTACAATTTTCCTTTTAACTGCATGTTGATACTTTGGTCCTTGTGACATTTGTCATTTTCGAAAGTGTTAGATGACTTTTGCAGCGTCCTTCGAGTGTAGCGAGTTCTCTCACAATCAATCGAAAAAATGGTAAAGATTAGAAAATATTAACAATTTTTTCAATTAAACTACTAATTTCTATATTTCTAATAAAAATATATTATTTAATATTCGAATATATAATTATTTAATAAATTTTAATTTGAATTTCAGCCGTTGAGATTCACAAAATGTTTTATAATTTCTTCATGGTAATTATGATTTGAAAATTAAAATGCCAGTGTGAGCAACCTATATCCTTTAGGATTGGTAGGATTAGTAATTATTTCTTTTTACAATTTTATTAATATTAACCGTTAAAGTTTTAAACATATAAAATAAAAATGTTATATTTTTATTAACTAAATGTTTTAAGAAAAAAATATCAATTTTTGAATGGTTAAAATCTGTTTTAAGAGGTTATGTTTAATTTTTTTAATCTTTTTATAACCTCCACAACCAAGAAACCATCATGGCTCAGATTGGTTGACATTTCCATAAATCAAAATTACTGTTACGTTGGCACAGGCTTCAAATACGTTTCATTTTCGCCAATGCACTTCCTCAACTAAATACAACTTGACTCCCCTGTCTAAGCCCTAAGAGGTTTCACTCTCTTAACCCCAAGGATATCAATAACCAGTATGTAATCAATTAACCGTATGATTTCTTCTTCCCATCATAATAGTGGCACCATTTACATTGACATTAATCAGGTACGGGGGAAATGGTCGAGCTTGGCTGCTTAATTCTTTTGGTGTCATGAATTTTTCAAAGCTGATAAAGCTTCCTTCGTTGCCGATGAGATAACAGCGTCCGAAGCATTCGGCAAATAATAATACTTCCCTGAAGATGAAGGTTTTTTTTTGTTATGAATAAATTTTTCTTCTATTTCAGAAATTCAATACATCAATTAAGTAAAATTGTAGAACACAAACCTTGGGCAACTCTAGCAATCTCCTTGGCAAAACCCGTTGAGACAAACTTATTTTCAGTGTCGATGACAAGGAGAGACATTCCTGCTTTATATATCTTCCCAGCCACCTCAAGAATTTCATCCTTCATTAAAACAAAGTTTAACAGTTCAGAATGAGACAAGTAGGATATATATATATATATATCATACAGATTTCAGATCGTGCGAGTAAAATAATTAGATAAAAAATAACGTATAACTTTTCGCCTTAAAGAAAATAAGAAAACAAATTAACAAGATGCTTATTTCTATCTCACATGTTAATAATTCTGCCCACGTTCATTACAAAATGGTAAAAGTAGATAATGGACATTTAAAGGAATGATGTAAAACTACACTATACTGTTATTATTAGAAATGATATTACCAGTCTTGAATTTATTATCACTGGCTTCCACACTACGCTGGATAACATGTTCTTAAACTTTCCTGTAAGCTTAACTGTACCTTCAATTCTTGGGCTGAAGGTTTAGGGGAATCAGTTGCAGCAGCAGCTTCAGGGTCAGTTGACCTTTTCAATGATATATTGGCTCTGCCATCAGTGATTGCAACGATCATTACACGTCCAACATCACCACTTTTCTCCGCATTTAATCCAACCCTAACAGCCTAAATGTTTTCCATAAATAAGAATTAGCAAGTTTAAAAAGATTTAGCTAAGGCATTGAAAATGTGATATCCAGGGAGTCAATTAGAAGCAAAAGATCTGCATACTGTGGTAAGACCATGCGCAAGAGGGGACCCCCCACCACACGGAAGCCTTTCAAGACGTTTCCTTGCCATTGCGATTGATCTAGAAGGTGGCAGGAGAACTTCGGCTGCGTCTCCACGGAATGGAATTATGGATACCTATTTAACAATTGAAATAATTATTTGAAATAAGATTATTTAGACAGCATCATAAAAATGAATTGTGTTTTAATCTTGGTCTGGTATATTGAGATGCGTGATTTGATCAAAATTCTTGCACAGATTTCAAATGAGAAACTGTCAATCAGTTCAACTCAATTGTGATGCCCTGAATCTGACATGTCTTGAATACTCAGCATATCATCAATTCAGCTCTTATATGTTTAGATTTAGCTGCATATGGTGAATGACATAAGTAAATCAAATTTATTGTTCCATTCTAACATAGTGATTCTGGTTCAAGGATTTGCAGCTGTACCAATAATTTATAAACTGCTTAAATTCTATTGTGGTGAAAAAGTAGCACTATTCTCCATTAGGTGTGCATTATAAGTTTCATCACTCAAACTGTATGTTTTGTCTTCTGTTTGAGAATTCATATGTGAAACATACAGGGTGGATTGGCATATGTAATTTCTGAGAATAATTTAATGCCTCATTTTCATTCATCAATCAATTATAAATAAACTCCTAATTGTTTGGAAATTATGTGGCCGGCTCACCTGATCCCTGCTTGTATAACTTTCAGCCAGAAGCTTAAGTGCTGCACCTTTTGCATTCTGCATCCTGTTCAATGCCATGCTTCCACTTGCATCAACCACAAATATCACCTAAAATAATAAACATTCTCTAAGAAAATGTATAAAATTGACCACAAACAAGTTCAATATTTCTCTAATTCACAGCAGACTAAATTTGAGATTTAAATTATATTCTATACTTGCCTAGTCAAATAAAAATTACTCTGGCCAAATACAGATGCTCTTAAGGCTTTGCCTAGCATCAAATAGACATAAGCACACAGTAACATGTGGGCAAAATTATAAAACTATTTTAAAAAATAAGAGTTTAAAGGGCAGAGATAATAGGAGAAGAATAAGAGGATGATAAGGAAAGATGAGAATATGTTAGAGCACATAGGCGGAAGATCAGGGTAGACTGGAGATAACATATATATATTTCAAATTAATTACTGTAAATTCAAGTTCTGAGGCAAGAGAACATATGTACCAATGCTCCTGCTTTACGTGCCATTCTCTTTGCCCTCATATCAGTTTTCTCAACAAATACTTTTCTATTGTTTTTAGAGTCTTTTGCCCTTCGCAATTTTTGATATGGTGCCGCAGCTCTAAGGGTTGCATCAACTGCTAATCTCTTTACAGGGCCCTGCAAATAGTAACATTTGTTGGACAAAAAAAATGCACACACTATACAAATTCTTAATGAAAACGAAAGTAATCTTGGCAGTCAAGGACAACTAGTTAATGGTTATTGCAATAGTCAAATTAGACTACAATGATATCAAAGCAAGTGGATACAGACACTAATCAAATCATTGAATTAGATAACTAAATTGCATTCACCAAAATTACCAACCTTTGGAAGCATTGGCTTGATGTATCGGCCTCTGTCCTCTGAAAATATAACATTTTTTGCCCTTCCGGCCCTCCCACGGCGTCTCTGTGCTTGTTGGGCAAAGAAGAGGAGTTTTTCATCCACCAAGCCCCCTTCGGCATCAAAGATAAACTCTTCAGGTAATTGTTCTTGCTGTTGTTCATTCTCTTCATCCTTGTCATCCTGTATAGAAAGACAATAATATCAAAAGATTTATAAGTAAAGCAAGGTGAATGTGAAAACTAAGAGGCATCGTTGAATATTCCATTCATTTCTTGAGTAACAAAATATCAAGCAAATAAGTCCATTCACAAAATTTAGAAAGAAAGGAAACCCACTGGACTTTACATGGCTAATAATATTCTGTGGTAAATGGACCAAAGTCTATTACTTTCAAAAGGGATTTTCCTCAAAAACTTTATTTAACTTGAAAGATGGTTTGATTTAACCTCTTCTTCTTCCTCTTCATTCTCTTCTTCACCAGATTCTTGATTTTGTGGAGGAGGGGGAGGGGGAGGCTGCTGATTTTGTTGCTCTGGTGGGTTCTCAGCAATGATTGATCGGGGAAGAATGACCAATTCTACCTGTATCAGAAAATATATGATAAACAATTAATTGGATAGGTTCTTATTTTCAAAAAGTACTATAGAGATGTATGTGCTGAATGTTAATTGTAGAGTAGCATGAAGTTTTTTCAGAACATTTTCTCCATCATGTTTTCACTTTATAAAATCCTATATATCATTAAACTTGAGATCATAAAGCTGGGGTAATAAAAATAAATTTAAACAAATCCTGATCAGCCAGAACCAAATCATCAACTTATGTTTTAGAAATGTTAATAGTGAAATCAAACACCTTTTGGGGCGTGTAATTCAAGGAGATTCTTTTGGCACCCTTTCTTTTAAAAATTAGTGGGAAATATTTATCCAGATGTCATATTTAATTGAAAGAAATTAAAAAAAAAGAAGCTGAATTTTATATTTCAAGTACAACATGTGGCTAAATAGTGACCCTAATTTCTAGCAAAAAAATAAAATAAAAAAATAGTGACCCTAATTGCTAAGTGATACTGGAACCCTCACAAAAAGGAACGGTACTGAACAAACTGCCATAATTTAAACTACTGATACTTTATGTTCCTAGAGGAGATAGTAAGAACTACAAAGCCAGCAGAAGGTGTAATCAACATACCAAAATGTTGCATTCAAATTTCAAAGAAAGCTTACAGCTTTTTTTAGGTCATCCACATAAACCTTTTCACGTCCCTCCAGAGCAGCTAAGCACTTCGCAACACGAGCAGCAAATAGCTCAGCTCTGTGTCCCTGTTGTTCATTACAAGTATTCAAAATTATCAATCCACATGACAAGGATTTACAAATTGGTTTGGTCTACATACTACTGTACTGAGTGAAAGCAAATTAATTGCTATGTTTTTCTCTTGAATTGAGTATTTGTAGAATGACAAAGTGTCATGTCTCGATGTTTCAAAAATTTGTTTTAAGTCTCCCGTGGTATCACCGAATCAAAAATTTGAAATTATACATTGAAGCAAAAGCTTTTTAACTTCTATCTCTTTATATAGCCTAGTTCTTCCTCTCTCTTGCTCTTCCATCTGACAAGTATAATTTACATGCTATCATAAATGAAATATACTCATGAACTTATGCCAAGGTAATAAAACAGTATAAGGGAAAGAAAAGCCTCATTTTGGCATGTACAATAAAGATCTGTTATTAATAACCTCAACTAAG